CTATCTATCTATCTATCTATCTATCTATCTATCTATCTATCTATCTATCTAGCCAGGTGGGGCAGTGGGGGACTACAATCCCTGCTATAGAACAGTTCAAAAAGGATAGGTGAATGAGTTCGTATTCACCCTCTACCTGCTTTGATTTCTCAGGGCGACTCTGGGGGCCCCCTGGTGTGTGACAGGAAGGCCCAGGGCATCGTCTCCTTCGGCAAAAAGGACGGATCCCCCCCGAGGGTGTTCACCAGGGTCTCCGCATATGTCTCCTGGATCAAGAAAACAATGAGGGCTTTCAGCAGCCCAGGGTCCCACGCTGAAAGCCCTGCGTCCCTTCGTTGAAGGGTGCAGAATTGGGTTTGAGGAGTTCTGACTACGAAGGAGTCCCGTCCCCCCCACCCAGAATGGTGTTGCCAAGCTCAGCTGGTGCTTGAATAAAAGCCAAGATTCTTACTCCCCCCATGTAATAAAATCCTACATGAGAAGAGACTCTTTGGGGGACCATTGTCTGTCTGTATTTTGATGCCCCCGAGGGTGAATGTCCTGCACTGCTGTCCTGGATGCCTGGATACCATCCCATGGCCCCGTCTCTGCCTCTCAGGGAATGGTAGCTCTGGGGCCCCCTAGGAGTGAGTGCCCTGCACTGCTGTCCCAGATACCTGGGTCCCATCCCATCACCCAGTCTCTGCCTCCCAGCGTATGCTAACTCAGAGAGCCCCCTAGGGGTGAGTGCCCTGCACTGCTGTCCCGGACACCTGGGTCCCAGTCTCTGTACAGCATTTGCCGTGCACCATCCATAGCGCCTCTCCTGCCTGATTCCTTGCCACCAATTTTAAAAGGCAGGACCCAATTTTATCCCCCTGCCTTTCCATTCCCCTCCTCCACACATGAAGGCTCAAGAAGGGCAGCATTAACTCGGCCTCAGCCACATGCCCTGCAGGACAAGCTGGGAGCTGGGTGTGATGTGGGACTATTAGTCATGTTTTTATTATGCCTGGTCATGCCTCAGTTTCCCCTCTGCGCTTTGCATTGCTGGGCATGGCTGTTAAAGGGTTAAAAGGCTGCTTTTGGGGTAGAGCAGAAGCCACAAGGTGCTGGGACATCTCACCATCTGGGGGTGGCATGAATGGGTCATTAACAACTGGCTGAACCCAACCCAGATCATTGGAAGAGCTGGAAAGCCAATGGGAGTTCCACACAGTCACAATGGGAAATCCCGACAGGCCATGCAGGAGGGCTCAGCAGGAGGACAATGGCCCAGATGTGCTGGGGGGCTGGGGAGAGAGCTGGCCTTTGCAGAGACGTGGGGGCTGTCCCCTGGGACAGACAAAGAAACAAGGACGGGGAGAGGGAGCAGAACTGGGCTGCGCCCAGCTTGGCTGGCTCCTTGCACTAGCGGGGCCAGATGGACTATGCCTAAACCCTGGGCTTCTCCAGGCCAAGCCGAGGATGTCCCCAATCTGGGTTCAGTCCAAGGAACCAGTTAACCCGGCTCTCTTTGGAAAAGTTGGCTGGGTGTCACTGCCAATCCCGGCTGAGGTGCACGGGTCCCTGGGGAGTGTAGACACCTCTGAGCAGGAGTCTCTCTCAGTTGGCGTCACTGAGCAGAGCTCACGGTGTGAAGCAGGGGGGCTGGAGCCCAGGGGCTCGGTCCCCAGGGCCCATTCTGAAGGCAATGTGGCACCCCTGGGTGGCTGGCACAGTGACAGGGATACGCTGATCAGCGGTTGGAAAGCCAGAGCACAGCAGAGATCCTGTGGAGGCGTGACACCGGGGGGAGGGGAAATTTGTCAGCGGGGAGACGCACAGGCCGGCCTGGCCCGGCCCTGGTGGTGGAGGTGGCCTCAGAGGGGGATGCGGAGCCCCCAGGAGAGGGAAGCATGGCAACAAAAGTGAGTGCTGGGCTCCAGATGTGCACGCCCACCAGGGTGTGCTGGGCCCCAGATGTGCACAGCTCTAGGAGTCAATGGGCCAGACCCTGAGTGGGTGTGAATGGGCTGTAGCCCCACTGGGGTCAATGGGACCAGATCCCAGATGGGGCAATCGGCCGTAGTTCCATTGGAGTCAATGGGCCAGATGCCAGCTGGGGTCAGTGGGGCGTAGCAGTGCAATAACCCACAGTGTAACTCTCAGGGGTTAGGGGTCTCCCCTCCCAAGCGGTGGGAGAACCCCACGGTGTTTGTTACATGGCCGGAGACAGATTCTGTTTAACAGGTATTGCCCTGAATACAGAGACGGAAACACCGTGATGGTGGAAGGTTTCTATCACATGGATGCTGAGCTGTTCATAAAGCTGGAGAGGTAACGGCCAGCGGGAACCATCAGACCATCTCCTCTGCCCCCACCCCGCATACAGTGCTGGCCGGAGCACCCAGCCCAGAGGATCTGAATGACATTGCCTGGGAATTGGCCATTCAAATCCCTTTGGTGCCTGGGCCAGTGTCAGGCTCGGAGACGCTGCTGCCAAGGGCTGGGCTGGATTCTCCATTCCTGGTGACGTGTAACTCAAGCCGGGAGGTTTCTCTAACAGCTCTGCTCTTGTTCAAGCCGGGATTAGCTCAGGGCTGTCCCAGGGCCGGGGCTATGCAGGGATTAGACACGATGAGCACCGTGGTCCCTTCCAGCCTTGGAATGGACGAATCTATCGAAGGAACGTGGCTTTCTTATTGCAGCGGGTCGGGGTGGAGGGACCCAGGGCATCTGAAGGCAGCTCTGGGAATCTCTCTCATGCCTCTGGCTCAGACAAATCTGGCCTTTAGCCAGACAGGGATCAGCAACATGGCATCACCAGGTCCTGGGGAGCACTGGCCAGCACTGCCCCTGCTACCAGACAGAGAGAGCCAGACGAAGGGGAGTGTGGAGACACACAGATCAATTCCATCTGTATCTGCTCCACAGCCACTGGATTTGGGTGTCAGGGTGGGGTGGGAATAATTCCAGCCCTGTAGGTG